TCTACTACAAATATGATGTTGGATACAATAAAACAAGAAAAAAATTTTTTATAACTGTTGCTTATATAAAAAAATTGTTCTTGCAGATAATAATTATAATCAAAAATCGGTACAAAGAACAGTAAAATATAACTTGTGCTAACAGGTGATAAAAATCAATGGCTTTTCTCTTCTACGAAAAACTATGTTTTTAAGTTTGAAAAAGTAACTTCGTTCATTACAAAAGCATTTAAAAAATTAATTTAAGTCTCGAAGGGTTACATAACAATTTCTTCTAAGTTTTTCTACAATAAGAGCAATCAGAAATATAATTCACATCACTAAACTTCTTGCGAAAATGTTTTTAGAAACTTATATAAGTTTAATATAATTTATAAAAATAATTTCTATTTAAAATTTAGAATAGTGAAGATTACCTATTTTATATATATATAATGTTACTTTCATTAAAATTAAGATGTGGCTTTTATTAACCCAAAAAAGCCAAAGTAGTAATATTATTTAATACATAAAAATTATATACAAATATAATTTCTATATTAATTTGTAGAATAATTTAATAAATTAAAAAGCATAAAGTTGCGTTATTTTGTTAAATACTTGCTAATCTTACATTATATGTATGCATTTAAATTAAATGTAAAACTACGCCAAATATAAAATTTTAAGTATAAAATTTTACTTTTAATATAATAATACTTTACTATTAATTTCTGCGATATTCTTTTCGTTTATAAACTTGTTTATTATATTAACCAATAAGTAAATACGTTGCTTAAAATTTTTAATTTACTTGACATCTTGAAAATTATAAAATTTGAAAGTTAATGTTAATAAAGGAATTTAATTATTACTTAACTTTTTTTTTTATTACAAATGTTGTTTAATCTTAAAAAGTCAGAAATTTATAAATTTAGATTAATTTATTTGTAATTACTTTTATTTGTTTATATAAAACATTAAGCGAATGAAAGAATTATTTCGATGATAGTAATATTTTAAAAAAATGACTTAAATAACTCGAGGTTTACTTTTAAGATTGAAAATTCTTAATTAGATTTTTAAAAAACGTGACTTTTTTCTTATTTATAAAATAGAGATAATATTTTAAAATTTCCAGCCGATATCATTGCATTTTATTTTATTTTAAAATTATTCAAAAAATTCAATTGACAGCCAGCTGCCAAATAGTTGAAAGAAGGTAAAATAAAGTATATAGATAAAGAAAAATACAAATATATTCTTCAAAACTAAAACTTTCAAGAATAAAATAACGTTAAAATTTTACAAATCGAATGAATTTTTAGAGAAATAATTTTATTATTTGCGATAAATAATTTCTCTTTAATTTTATCATTGATACTTAATACAACAAATTATAATTTCATGGAACAAACATTCGGAAGGTGATTATAATTGGACAGGTGCATCAAGTATAATTGAAGTGTTCAATCAAATATGAGCAGATCATAAATAAGTGAATAGCGTATCTTACAAATTCATAACTACATCCCTATATTGTTAATTTAATGTACAATATATATTAATATTTACTATCAATTGTTAAATAATAATAGTGTAGTGATTTTTTTAAAATAATAACAATGAATTATTGACACCGTAGAAATGAAAGAAAGTAACACTTGGATATAAATTAAACGTAATTCATGATATAAATCTTTCAGAACACTATAAAAATAATTTATAAAAAATTATTTGATATAATTTTATCTGTTTTCGTTTTATAGAAAATGGCAGTTCGCTTTACAAGTGACAATAACCTACTTTAAAGAAAAGTTTTGTGTGCCGAAAGATTTGAACATCTGGGTACAGCATAAAGTGGATAAACAAGCAAAGAATAGAGTGAAAATTTGTCATGTCTTTTTGCTAAGGCTTCCAATTCGTTATGTTTTGTTTTCTCCTGCAACTGAAGATATTTCCGTCATCAAACTCTGAATTTTCAGATAAATTCGGATTAAGGTCATCTACTGATAAGATAACTACATACTTATGTATTGATCCGATTTAGAAAGGTTTACATTCCATAAATTAATGTTATTTTTTAGACTTATCCATACTTAAAGATTAAGATAAATACAAACAATAATAAAAGAACGATCATACAGTTTATATTAAATTCACCTCACTTATTTTTTACTCATTATTCAATCTAGAATAATAGGATTTAAAATATTCTTAGATTTTCTGTATACAAAAATGTATTTTGTACAGAATTATTTTTACTGATTTGTGGATTATAAATTCGAATTTTATAATTCTATTTCTGATATTTAAATCCAGTTATAAACTAGAAGTTCAATTTAAAATGCTGGTTTACTTATCCGAAATCATAAGTTTTTTTTTATTATTATAAACTTCATAATTTTATTTCTAATACAAAAAAATCAAACGTGATAAAATATATATGTGTATGGGCTTATTCATATTTATTAGTAAGAAATTTTCATAAATCAGAAATATTCATTTAAAAAAATCTCATCAAATTGTTTCTCGATGCATAAATAATTTTTTGTGATTAAGATTGTTAATTTATTTCATTAAATTAATTTTCATGTATATTTCAATTTATTTTAATTTTTAATCTTAATCTTTAATTCCGAATCTAAAAGAAATTTCATGGTTGATGTCATACATGCTCTTTTCATTATCATCAAAAGTTATTTTTATACGATGATAATTAGATTAAAAGAAAATAAATTAAAGCAAGTTAAATTTGGTTAGTTTAACAAAAATACTTGGCAGTTGTTCCATGATTAATGAACAAAACACTATTTTCAGACTTTAATATTTCAGTTTTGAAGAATAAAAAAAATATTTAAGTTCGTTATAAATTTTATCATTAATTATAAAAAGATTTAGATAAATTCAAGTCAATTTATAAGAAAATTTAGAGTTAATTTGGTATTTTTTTGTCGTCAAAGAAACAACGCTCTATTATGTATTTAGTAATAAATAAAAAACAGAAGTTGCGGAATAAAGAAAGATCTTTATTGATATAACATTTAATATATATATGTATATATATTATCGTAGATATGAATATCACATCAATATACACCACACAGTTAGTTTATTTTTCCATTGATGTATCACCAATGTAGACGTCTAGGACTCGACATCATTTCTAATTCTGCATCACTAGAAACAATAAAAATATATTACTTTAACAACGGTGTTTTCAAGGAAAACAGCCACTTTCTTTTTTGTAAAAATAATCGTCATGCATTTTCATCAATATAACATTGATATGGTGACGTCGAAGGAAAGCTGATATTTGTTAACGACATTCCTTTAAGAACCCCACCAGTTTGTACTTGTCTGCAACACCTGTACTCGATCGCTGAGGTCTTTAGGGTATGTTGCTGATACTTTTATTATTAATCCCTGAAAACAAAAATCAATCTGGAAACATTCTTTAATAAAATACCACTGTTTTAAATCACGATTTTGTAAACTATACAATTTCTTTGCTCTTTTCCCCCCTTATTTTCTATAACAAAATCTTTGCATAGATAACACTATATAAGCTTTTACAATCTTTGGACTTTCAAGTCTTTTATCATTTTTATCCTTATCTATGGATTGAATAACACGAGCTAGATAATACTTTTGCAAATTAACCTCTGCATAAAATTATATATATATATTTGTTTAGAAATATTGTCCACATAAATTCCGGAAAAGATTTAAAAAGAAAAAATAGTAAAAGAATATATTATCTACTTTTTTAATATTGTACATTTAGAAAGATTTCACGTTTATTTATAGAAAATTTTCCACAGATCGTTCTCTCGAAAATCAATCTGAAACTCGATGTTTTTCGGCTGTACAAGTAGGCTATATTTAAGAAAGCATACATTTATATCCCTCACGCCTACGATTGAATATGCGATATTTCTTTCAAGATACGTTCACTATGACAAACACATAACACTGCATGCTATCATTGCACCGACACCCAGCACATTCTATAAAGTTTCGATGTATACGCAATAAAAACATAGCAACAGTAAATATCAACGCTAATTTTGACGAAGACATATAATCTGATAATTTGTTAAAATCTTAATAGCAACAACGGACTTTTCTCCCATCCCCACTATTAGAATTAAGATCACGTTTATCTCCCTCTGACTCGTCGTGCCGAATTCCTAATTTTTATTCACTTCGTAATTCTTAATGAAGTACAAATGTAACTTGGTCAAAATATCCAAAGTACATTAGTACCACAAAAATAATTCAAATTCGAATTTTTCAGGTAGACTCGTAACGATCTAACAAATATATAAGATTGTTCGCGATATAGCAACTGTGGAATGAAATTAAAACTGCTCGCCTTCTTTTTGCTAACTAAAAATTAAGCTGATATGTTTTTCATGCATGCAAAACTATCTTTTTCTTCAATATACTTTACTATGTGTTTATATATGTATGTTTATTTTTTATTTATCTATAAAAAAATTATGTACAAATTTATTTCTAAGATGATGAGACAACATATAGTCTTATGCGTTTAGGCATGCTGTGTTTCTTACTTAAATACCTTGTTTTATACTAACATAACATAAGTGTCTATATTAATTACATGTGAACTTATGAATAAATTGCTTATATTATATATAGATGGCATTCGATTTACACAAATTTACGATTAATGCAATAGCCTCAGGAAAGCTTTTGTCGTATAAATCTACAATTGTCATTATGTCATAGATATATAAATGTTATCACATAATATTAACAATCAGTATTAATCGGAATTTGACTTAAGCTGATTATATATAAAGATATGAGAATAATAAACAATGTGAGAGGTCTTTAACTACACCTAAAAACAAAGAAGTTTGAGGAGAATTGCTGTAAACTTTATGTTTAATCACGATAATTACTGAATACAGTTTAATATATTTATATATNTATATTATATATAATATATTAATATATTAATTTTTTATATATATAAAATTATTTAGAACTTTTTTTGTTAAACTGCGTGCTTTTTTTAATAGAGATATGTTTTTTTTATATCTAAGATGAAATAAAATACAATATGAGAAATCACAGGTTCAGTGGGAATGTATCAAATGGATTGCCCGCAATTAAATTGTGCTAATATTCGACTTTGCATTTGTTAACAATGAGAATACATTGAACATCCTTTGTAATTTTTGGCAAAATAAGTTCGATTCTCTAAAAATTGCAGCATTAGTCTACAACTCACATAGTGTGTTAGTCTTATTAAGCAATGAGCATGTTTAGTTGTTGCTAATTAACATAGAAATCACGAGAAGGAAAAAAAAGAAAAAAAATGGGGATTAGCAGTCAGGCACTCGCTTGTTCATGTCTTGATGTTAAAACATAGCAATTGGCAGGAACGGTGATAGACTGATGATATGCTGAACATCACGGACGACAGATGTATGACTTCAATTTCCTAAATCACCCTAATTATAAAGCTATAAGTTGTCGATGCTAGAGTGAATTCAGTGCTTGCAAATGCAAATTAATTTGTTCCGTATCGAAGCCGTCTAGAATTTCGCTGATCGTCGAATCCATAGTGCTGGATGGTGGACTGTCGTCGTTTATGGCTCCCTGTTGATCACCACTCCCGTTTCCGTTGTTATTGTTAGTATCTTTGCTGTCTAGTAATTTGTAAGGCCTGTTCTCCCCCCTCATGTCGCAAATAACATTAGTTAGTGCCATTATATAGTTCTTAGCTAACGTAAGTGTTTCGATCTTCGATAGTTTTCTCTCCATGCTAATATGAGGAATGACTTCTCTTAACGCCTGAAAAGCATCGTTCAAGCTGTGCATTCGCATGCGTTCTCTCTCGTTGCTTTCTAGTCGTCTTAGGTTCTTTTCACGAGCATTTAGCGCCGTTCTTCTACGTCGTCCATTGGCTGTCTTTCTTTGTTGTTTAGGTTTGGCGGGAGTTGTAATTTCGTCACTTATGGAACCCGAATCCGTAGATTCGCTGGCCGCAGAAGGATCTTCTGTTATGGCTGGCCGTTTAGTAGCACTGCGCCTTTTGGTCGAACGAAGATTGGCAGGTTGATAGGACTCCATGTTAGCTCCTTCTTCACGCGGCCAAATACAGTCATTTGATAGTGTATCGAATGGAGCTTCCATCCTTAAAGTCATCTCGTTTCTTGACTTGACCATGCCCTGCAAAAATAATGCCCATTTAATTTCCATATTCCTAATATTTTCAATAAATAAAATATAATTAAAATATACAGACGTATAGCAGAAACAGAAAATGCACAGAATTAAACTTAATTTTTATTCTTCATTTATATACTCGTATTATGTAATTTTCAATCTTAAATAAAAAAATCAAAGGAAAAAAAATTGTAATTAACATTGTAGAAAGAAAGTTGAAAGTCAATTCCTTTGGGTAAAATGCAGAAATTAGATATGAACGTAATATAAAATCAATTTAAAAAATATAAAAAAATAATTTGAAATTTTCAAATTGACTTGATAAAAAATCAAACAAAAACGCTAGTCTAATATTAAATTAATAATGATTTGTCATTTTCGATGATTATAAAAATATATTTTCACACAGATATATTAATAATAAATTTAGTCAATAAATTGCTAAATAAATATCTAAAGATATCTTCATTTAAAAAAAAAATGTAATGGAATGAAAAGCCGTAACATATTACTTTTGATTTTATTAATATAGGCCTATAGCCAATGATTTATATATTAAAACAATTGATAAGAAAATAATATTAGAAACTTTATTTGATATTGTAATCTTCAAGAAATGTTTCGTGTTTACAGATTATTAGCATCTCTTAAATTTCTATACTATAATAGAAACGTCTGCTCCTTTATTTGAGGTCACTTAAAGTAATTTTCGTGATTGCTTCGAGCAGTCTGCCGACAGATAGTTTCCAATTAAAATTATCCTGATTATTATGGAAAATTAATCAAATCGACAAACTGACAGCACTCCGGTTTTAAATATATGCAAATCTGATTGGAAAAAAGGGAATCTGATATCATTTCAGAATCAATATTTTTACTTGAAGGATGTTGTATATTCATGGCAAACACGAAAAAAATTTCCAAACTTTTAAAATCTACTAAAACTGTAAAAATCAATAATATTTTCGACATATATTTTTACCACTATCGCATTATTGACATTTCTAAATATCCATGATAATTTTTTAAATAAATTATGTAATTAATTAATTATTATATATCGTTTATTACTTCTTTTAAAAAATCGATATACATTACACATTTATTAAAATATAGCTTATTGCACAAAGCTTATATAATTACTGTTGAAAATTTTAAATAATGTGTTCTCATTTTATATATATTTTGTTTGATAACTACTCGATATCAGTTATAGTAAAATATCGAATATTTTCTCTACTTTATCCTTAAAAACTTAATCCCTGGAGTTCAAACAAATTTATTTTTATTTTAATATTCATCCCCGATGTGTAGTTTGTAACAAAAAAACTAATCTATTCGTTCCCTAAGGTTGATTCAATAATATTTATATCTCGGTATTGAATATAATCTATTTTTCCAGACTTCAAAGCAAACTAAAGAAGGCAATTTCCGAATTCGTTGAATTGCAAAAAGTTTTACACGAATAATCAATATTTATAAAACTTTAATTCATATAAACAAAATTAAACCGTACAGAATATAATATAAAACTCGCCAAATAATTTTAGGCATGACAAATTTATAATGAAAAGCATAAAAGTTCAGAAAATTGCGCTCTTCTATTGATTTTCGCCTTTTTTTTTTTTTTTTCTGGAAGCATCGTACAACGCTATTCTTTTGTTTTTCGAAGAATCGGATACTTATAATCAGTTAAGTAAAGATGGATGTAAAGATGCCAAGTTGTCAAGTCTCATTCTTTTCGTCGACCTATTTTCCGACGTTAATCATGCATCTATAATGTCATCTTGTTAGACATATCCATGATTAAATAAACTGGCCGTTGATATAATCTATTCTTAACGATTAAATAATTTTTTAAGAAATTATCGTTGAAAAAATTTTATATATAAAACAAAGATTACTCGAGAAGGAACGGTGATAGACTGATGATATGCTGAACATCACGGACGACAGATGTATGACTTCAATTTCCTAAATCACCCTAATTATAAAGCTATAAGTTGTCGATGCTAGAGTGAATTCAGTGCTTGCAAATGCAAATTAATTTGTTCCGTATCGAAGCCGTCTAGAATTTCGCTGATCGTCGAATCCATAGTGCTGGATGGTGGACTGTCGTCGTTTATGGCTCCCTGTTGATCACCACTCCCGTTTCCGTTGTTATTGTTAGTATCTTTGCTGTCTAGTAATTTGTAAGGCCTGTTCTCCCCCCTCATGTCGCAAATAACATTAGTTAGTGCCATTATATAGTTCTTAGCTAACGTAAGTGTTTCGATCTTCGATAGTTTTCTCTCCATGCTAATATGAGGAATGACTTCTCTTAACGCCTGAAAAGCATCGTTCAAGCTGTGCATTCGCATGCGTTCTCTCTCGTTGCTTTCTAGTCGTCTTAGGTTCTNGTTTCGCTACTTATTATATTAGGCTACACTTTAAGACAGAGTTGTCGAGAAAGAAATATAAAACACTTTAAAATTATTAAGGACGATACATGCTGTTTTTATTATAGTTTGTGGCGCATGAATTTTTATTATGAAAGAGAAAAAGGTATAAGTGGCAATTATTGTTCTTTTATTGTCGTCGTGGGTGTCAAAATCATTTCTCCTGGTCAATCCTTCCTTCTCTTAAATTCCGAAAATACTAGAAAAATTTGCTTTGCCTTATATATTACATAAATAAATAAAGCAAAACTCATTCCATTTTTATTAATCCCGTTGTTGCCATTTTGTTTATCTGGAAATTTTTATTATAGAATTTATGTTTAACGAGCGAGAAATATCTGATTAAAGAAATAACTTCACTTAATGTGAAATAAATATATGAAATTTATATTTTATTTTAATTTTATTAAATAAATACAAGTCTATATTTAATTATTTATTTTTAAATTCATTTTAAAATATTTTAATTACGTAAGTTATAGGAGGCTTATATAACAGTTAGGTATATAGATAATATTCAAGGAGAAAAAAAAAATGACTTTTGAAGTTTAGATTAATTATATCAGCGGAAAGATTAATAAATGATTAAAAATAATGAAATATTAGTTAATCCGATTTAAAAAAGAATGGCTTAAGTAGTGGATGGGACCTATTTTAAAATATTCTATCGTTAGTTTTAGTTTTTAAAACTTTGTATTGATCCAACGCGTAATTACTTTCTGCAATCTGGTCAGGTGTGAAATATTCGTAGGTTTTTTCCTTAATTTCTTTGGTAAAATATAGCTAAATATCTCTTACAACGATAAAAACGCAACAGATGGTTATGACTCACTTGACTGATCCATTTGATGATCTTTCTTGAATTAAAAGAAGTGTAAAAAACTGTTTAATCTCGATTAAATCGTATCAATTTTGAAAAATAACGAGTATAGAAATTCAATAGAATATTGTAAATATTTTCTACGAATATTAGATTACTGCATTATTTTTTTTTAAATAAACTTTGTAAAAATAAATATTAACTATAGCCATAGAACTTATTTCTTAAATTTTATTAAAATAATTATATTTAAATTCGTTTAAGACAGATAGGCGTCAATGATCTTGGAATTCAGATAGTTAGAAAGTACTAAAGAGATAAACATGAATCTGCATCCGTATTTTACAAATGTTGCAGATGTACCGTCTACGTTACTCGATAAGCTTATATTTATCAGGATAGAGCACCTGTAGTGTTCAGAGTGGATTATACCCAGGTGACATCAGTCCCTGGAGTCCTAAGTAGACACATACGTGATGTGTTGACATAGCACATATTGCAAAACACCCATCATTTTATCTTTTGTTTGTTTTCTCTATCATTTAGAACTATTATTTTTAAATCAACCCATAAAAATATTTCAGGTGACAAAATAACTTAAATGGCCTATCAAAACGTAATAATAATATATCTTAATTACGTAATGATTCTTTATCGAAGAATTTATAAAGTCGTATTAAAAAAAAACTGAAGATTGATTCTATAATAGATTTGCATTAGCTGATTATGAAGAAAATTTAAATTTCATTCGCTTAAAATGTGTGCGATATTTGGTTAACGCAGAAGAGAGAGAGAGAGAAAAAAAAATTCATTTCATTAATTGACTGATTTTAAAAGAATAAGCTAATATGCCTCAGGATAAATTTACGTAAAAAAATCATTAATTTCGTTAGTTAAACATTAAAACTGAATGTCATAAAGAATTTGCAAATATTTTTAGTTAATCTAGGGATAACTTGATTTAGCAAATGAAAAAGATGTTTTTAAGCAAACAAGAAAAAAGTTTGACGAATTCGCTTCCTTTCAACTACAGCACCAATGCAAACATTGGTGAGTAGCGGCAAAATGCTATCCGCCAATGTTTTGTATCGTCATCTGGTCACCGGGACAGTAAACACGGATTTGGAATGGCAGGAAATTAGAATCGCCCCACGCTTCCTCTCCTTGTCAAACCGAGTTGGATATAAACTGTCTTTGATTTCTGTTCTAACACTCTGACATTTTTATTTATTTATTTATTTATTTTATTCGTTCTAGTCCAGCGTGTGCAGAAATTCTTTAAATTGATAAAACTTTAACATCAAAAAATATATAAAAGTATTTAAACTCAAATAAATCCACAAATATACAAGATAAACTTAAAGCGTATTCGTTTAAAAAACGTTTTTAAGTGATAAGCAAATATTTAACGTTATTTAATCATTTCATGTTTATTTAAAAACGCTTAGAATAAACAAACGAATGTAATTTTAATTTTAAAAAAAGTAATCCGACTAGAATAAAATTATGACAAATTTTTAAACATATTCTTTCGCTATAACAGAGGATGTAGATATAAAAATATGAATCGATTGGATATTATTTACAAGAAAATTCTGTCGAGGTGTCATGGATCCGACAAATGTCATCTGGGCTCTTGACAAGGCGTCTGTGCTGTCGTTGGAAGGATAGAGCCGCCTACCCCTAACGTGATTATGTCATGAGTGTGCTTTGCCCTCGTTTCCGGATTGACAGAAAAGGTTTAT